GTGTGTGGGCACTGTGGGGTCACTGTAGGTCAAACTTTGAAATGGCAAAGGATCTAATTAGAAAATAAGGTCTCTCTCATCTGCTCTGTTAGCACCTGCCCTGGCCCTGACCACGGCAAGCCTGCCTCCCACGAATGGCTCCTGTTCCCTTGGTGCAGCTGTCATTCACAGTCCTCTCATCCATCACTGCTGTGGACATGTGCCTCTGCTGCTGCTGCTTTGTTAGGCAAACTGTACCAAGGGTGTGGTGGTGAGATGTGAGGGACAAAAAGTGGAGCAGTTTGAAGAGGGGTGGATTACCAGAAATTATTTACTTCTGATATGTCAGGCACTCTAGAGTACTTTTTTATACACTCATATTTGTACTCCTGTCGTCAAAATGTTGCCCTCAGTGGTGGAAATTAACCCTTTCGGCGCCAGTCTCTCTCCAAATCAAGGTTGGAGCCTTGAAATAATTATAATTGATTCATATTGCCCCAGTGCAGTGTAAAAAAGAGATTTCTTCATAAAGTTAGAATGTTTTATTTTCCTAGCAACAAGAAGGGCACTGCCAAGGGCTTGGCTCATTTTGGCTTAAAATCTTGCAAACTACGCTCTAGGCTCTGAATTGTATAGAGTGATTAAGGAAGGCGTGATAACATGTTTTCAGATAAATTGATTTGAATTAATGACCAAATGTCTGCATTTTGTTGAAGTTATGAAAGATATACAGCTCTGTCAACCCAATAATAAATTCCCCTCTCTTCAATTTTAACATACAAGGTGAAATAGTGTTTAATAATGACATGCTTAACTCTGAATGCTTCATCTGTCAGTGTCAGTCCTCATCACAGTAGATTTGTGAAGTTGCAGGGCAGCATTAGTCACTCCAAACAGTAAAAGCTAATTTGGTTCACACTGTGGCTGTGTCTCAGAGAAGTGTCTCGGAGGACAGACGCTGCAGTACTTTTCCACTGCTTCGCTCTCTCGTCTTGCGGACTGACTGGGCCTGTCTGGTCTTGCTGCTGCAGTGTGTTTGTTCACCTGCTCAATTGGTGGCACTTTTGTTTGTTGGTGTTTATCTGGTGCAGATTAGATCACGCCCTGTGACACGCAAGTCTTTCTCTCATTGTTCACACAGTTATGTGTGTATAGTGTTGGAAACAAGGTCTGGACCAGTGTTGATACCATCAGACCAACATTGTACCATTCTTGTGAATGTTTCAATTGTTGATCAATTCTAAAATTTCATTGCACATTGGTCCATTGTAACTTCAGTTAAACCCTCCTAAGGGGTGGTAGTATTATGGTAATTACTTATTTGTCCGATTACATTTATACATTTTTTGTGTTTAATATACATTTGCAATGTGTGTGTGTCATGCACAGTTCTTTTATTTTTTTAAACAGACAAAATCAATGTTTAAACCTGCCTGTATCAGATCATTGACCACAACAGTACTACATTACAACAATATCAGCTATAGTTATGGAATAAGAAGTAGTCAGAAAATGTGACAGTAAATTGTTCACTTATTTTGGGAAATAATGTTTTGGTCATATTTTCATTATTACTTAATGGTATTTTTTACAAATTTGAATGTGAAAATTATTTCACCTCCTTGCAAATACTGGTAGTTACGAAGATTTATCAACTCACGCTCACATCTGCATTATGAGTTCCACCATAGAGAAGCAGCCCTCCAGTGCAGCTCCATTGTAAAGCATGAATGTATGTTCCTCTTTGTAAAGCCGGCCTCTTGCCCTCTGCCCTCTGCGCCCTTCTCACAATGGCTCAACTGTACGACATGAGTCGTGATTGTGAAGGCATCAGTAAAAGTGTCTGTACGTGGACCGATCCAAACCTGTTTATTAGCCACATCTGATGTCTGTTACGGATGTGATGCAACGTGGGCCTTAAATCTCTGTGGGAAGAACATTTCAACTTTATTGTGCCATAGTAGAGTTATGTTTGTCTTTGGCGTGTTGAGAATGAGTTATTTTGTTTCAATTACTTTCCTGCTTCTTGTCCAGGGCTCCCTTGAAAAAGAGGTTTTTATTCTCAATTGGACTTTCCTGGTTAAATAAAGATTACATTAATATTTAATATTAATGTTTCATATGAATCACGCGCACATTATTTTAAAATCAAAAAAGAATCTTGCCATACTTTTTTTAATTACTAGAGGGCGTAAATGTATTATGAAACATAATACAATTTGACTTGCGTGTGCAAGTTGTGTGTGCAACTTGTACGCATAAGTCAAATTTTAATATGTTTCATAATTAGAAAATTAGACATTTTCCTCATAGATAATATTATTCTATTTGTGTTAATTGTAATAAACTACACATTCCCCTTATACATTTTCTTGGTCATAGTTAAATTTCACATCATTTTATTGTTACTCGCTTACTATTTGGATTATTTGGACTATGGATTTAGACTCGGTGGACGTCTCTCCATTAAGGCACTCGGAGTGTAACATGAGAATTCCACATTATGTGAGAAGCATTTCCTCCTGATCCAGATGTGTCTGTATTGATCCACCTCAAGGGCATTTGGGTGTTGACTTGTGGGGTCAATGAAGGGGCCACCTCGTGATGTTACCATTAGGGCCAGGGTTGTTACATAGTCAGCTGTGTTATAACACGGTTATTATTTTCAAAGCTAAAGGTCAGATGATCAATTCCTGCCTGGGTCAGTGCTGTTACAACATTGGGCAAAATCTTCACAGATCTCTTTATTCTTCAACCTCATATATGAAAGAAAGTAATAGATTTTCATGTAGAAAGCAGAAAGGAAAGGTCCGAGGCACAGTGACAAAATCCTTTATTGTGGAAGGGACATAGCAACACATTTTGACCACTCTGGTCTTCCTCAATAACGGATTTTTAAGTTTAGGTGCCTCAGACCTTTCCTCTCTGCTTTATACATAATTTTTCCATGGATCCTCAAAGAACACCTGACTTCTCACATTGACTTCCCCGCATTTTATTAGTTTGATCTCTGTATGCACTCACTCCTCGTGTTGCTAATACATTTTCATATTCATTGGGGGGAAGGGTGGGGGTTACTTTTTACTCTACTCCCTTATTTTGTCTCATTTCAACCACAACAATTCAAGTCCTCTAATTTGAGTTTTACTAAATTATTTAATCACAAAATCTGATCATGTGCAACTCATCATAGAGATAATAGAGAGGAAACATGTGATTTCAAGTCTCCTATTCTTAGGCCCTGGGTCAGCAATATTGGACAATTTACTTTACTGCAGCTGATTAAGCAATATTACTTTCCAAAGACGCAATTCGTGAACTTATTTTTTGGCTTCTCTCTTCACCTTTTACATGTATATCTCACTGATCAAAGCCCCATCAATGACTCAAAAATAATGAAACCTCTCGCTTTGAAGAGACAGTATTGGTGCGTTTCTCTCTCTACAAGACACAGACCAGGGAGTAATTAACTGCCAGTTCAGACAAACTGCTCTTAATCGTGTTATGGTTGTGAACAGAGCATCATTTGATCAGTCAGGATCAAATGAAGGCGTTAGAGCAGGAAACATGCTCTGACTTAATGAGAGTGGGCACAGGTCTTAGATCTTTAGCAGAAAACCATCAGAGTAATGAAGTTCATAGGACAGACAAGTTGTGGCCTACCTGTTTCATATTATGTGTAAAATAATCAAGTTGACATGATTGAGAATCCAGAGTATGCTGCATTTTGTTTTGATATATTTGCTTGTTGGTCCTGGGTTTTTGCTGTTGGGACGTGTTTTATAGATTAAAACAGATTTTAAGTTTATAAATCGGATACTGAAGTAACCAGTGTTCTCAGTAATTCAATTCAAGAATAACTAATTACTGCAGTATATTCCTTTGTGATGTAACAAAGTGATTATTTTAATATATTTCTAATTATGATAAAAGTAACTCAAGTTGTATACATATTAAGCATATTATAGATGTGATGTGTTCTTCTGTTGTTCATTGATTTGAGCAAAAACAAGATAATATTATAGTATTAGAAATTTAATTATAGTTAAACTTGATTTCTATCAATAGGGTTTAAGTTTTATAGTAAAGGAAAATTACTTTACTTTACGTTGCTACTTTAAAGGCGACAGTAGCTCAGTTGGTAGAGCATTGGCCTTTGCGCCAAAGGGTCGTGGGTTCGAGCCTGACCGTCACCATCGACTCCCACTGTCTGCTGTTGTTGTGTCCTTGGCAAGGCACTTAACTTCTGGGAACACCAGCCACAGTGGGGAGGCTGCTGCTGTAAAGTGCCAAACTGTCGTTGTGTCCTTAGGCAAGACACTTCACCCCCATTGCCTAGAATGAGTCTGGTGTGTGTGTGAATGGTTGGTGGTGGTCGGAGGGGTCGATGGCACAGACTGGTTGCCTCGCTTCTGTCAGTGTGCCCCAGGGCAGCTGTGGTTACAGTAGTAGTTTATCACCACAGTGTTTGGAGTGAATGAATAATGACATGTAAAGCGTCTTTGAGTGTCCAAAAAAGCGCTATATAAAACCGATGCATTATTATTACTTTACTAAACCATCAACAAAAGTGAACAACATGCCCTGGTGGACAACTCATTTTAATGGTTTTGAATTATATTTCAAGTTTTAATAACATCAAGTGTACCGTGACCAAGCAGAGTGCTGTTGTCAATGAAGCTTAGAAATTGCTTTCACTTGGATCAAACAGGGCTTTTTCATTACCTTTTGTTCTACTAGATGGAAAGTAATTTGATACAGGTTCTTTGAAAGTGTGTTTCCAATATTAGACCTCTTATGTTTTCACAGTGTAATTGAACTTATGTGATCTCAGACAAACAGGCTCTGTCACATGGCCACTTCAGTGTATTTTAGACCAGGCTCAATCATAGGTCATCTCTAGTGCCGCCTGTGTTACCACCAATGCCTTTGTACTTTATATACATGTCCATGTGGAGCTAAAGCTAATGGCGCGCAGACTAGTCCTCGTGCATGTGTAAAACATATGTGTGTGTCTGTAGTATGGGCGGTCAGACAGTTACCGCGTTGCCACCACACAGGACAAAGATGGCAGATCCCCCACCAAGAAGAAAGGGGGCAAGGACCTGGACGAGCTGAAGAAGGAGGTCCCCATTGTGAGTACAAACATTTCTCCTTTTAGTGGTGAAATTGTATATTTTGTTTTAATCATTTTGTGTAATATAATCTGTGGATATCAGCAGCACAGACCTAGAATAAATCATTTTGATCAAACTATCCTTTAAATTGGCTACATTTAAATTAGTTTTAAATAACACCCATTTACTTAACTACCAAAAAATGTATTGATGCATTATTGCATTTTTATTCACTATAACACACTCAGTTATGCTGTTAGTGAGCAGTGAGTGAGTTCCATATTTCTACTTCATGTAACTACAGGAATTAAGAGTAAATATGCATACGATTTCAATCGAATTAGAATTGGCCAAAGATTGCTGGCCACTGGTAAGACTGTTTCCAGCTCTTCCTGGTGACCCGGCAACACTGCACATTGAAGAATCAGGTGAACCGCATGCTTAGAGTGCTCCATAACTGCCATAACTTCATTCACAAATATTTGTCCTATTATTTAAACTGAAGTATCATCATACATACATGACCACTTGGAATCACACAAGCGCTGATTGATTTTGTCTCTTTTGTTTTGCAGACGGAGCATAAAATGTCCGTGGAAGAAGTATGCAGGAAGTTTCAGACAGACATTGTCCAGGTGAGCTGTAGCGAAGTTGGATGAACACCAGATGGTGCTAGAGTAATATTTCACAGTGGTCTTTCGCAGCAGTTCCAAAAAAATAATCTTAAAAAGGAAATAAAATACAATAAAATCAAAACCTGAAATTATCAGATAACATTACCATTATTTCTCTCTCATACTTTCAATATTGCAATAGATAAATCATGAAACAAATTTCAGGCGTTTGCCTAAGTTAACCCTTTAGACACGAAAGAAGCAGAAGGCTATATGAGCTCACGAATCTGGGAACTTGTCCTGTCACACACGTTTCCCGATTGTATTTTTACATTTCATAGATATTTATGTTCAGTTGTTTTCTATCTCTTATGAAGTTCAGGGCTCCTATCTGTTTCTCATCATTCTCAACGTTCTAATTTTTGATCGGCGGAGACTTTAATATTGATTTTCTTAATTCACGAAATTGTAGAGCAACTTCTGATTTCTTAAGTGCTCTATGTTCACGCTCTCTGTTCCCTCTGATTTCACATCCAAGTAGAATCACCACATCCTGTGCTACATTGATCGACAATATTATCACAAATAATGCAGACCACTTTATATCAAGTGGCTTGTTGATTAATGACATTAGCGATCACCTGCCTGTTTTTACCATCTATGACCTGCAGCCTAGAAAATATGAAAAGCTGAATTACTCTACATACTGCAGAGTCAGAACAGAAATTAATATCCAACAATTTAGAAACGAACTTCTCAAGCAACACTGGTCTGGAGTCTATGTGGGTGATGTGAATGAAGCTTATTATTCCTTTTTAAATACTTTTATATCACTATATAATATTTGGTGTCCATTGAAGCAATCCAAAAAAATTACTAGAACTGATAAACCCTGGTTTACAAGAGGAATAATAAGAGCATGTCATAAGAAAAATAAACTGTATAAAAATTATGTTAAAAACCGGAACACTGATAACAAAAAAAAATACAAACTATACAAAAACAAATTAACTACCATTATGAGAAATGCTGAGAAGGATTACTATAACAGAAAACTGAGAGAAAATCATGGGAACATGAAGGCGACTTGGAATGTACTAAACAGAGCAATCAGACCCAACTCCAAACAAAAAATCATACCTGATTACTTCATTGAGGATGATATTGTTCATAATGATAAAAGAAAGATTGCTGATGAATTTAACTTGTTTTTTACTAATATAGGAGCTAATATAGCCAAGAGTATGGACGGATCGAATCAAAGGGGAACATCTGAGATGGGGAGCAGAATAATGCAGTCTATATTTCTGGGAGAGGTCTTTGAAAACGAAATTTTATCTATTGTAAATAAGTGTAAAAGTAAAACCTCCACAGACAGTGATGGACTCGACATGTTCATTATAAAAAGAACTATCGACTGCATTATCAAACCTTTGACATTTATCTGTAATCTGTCTATACAAACTGGTGTTTTTCCGGATCAAATGAAAGTCGCCAAAGTAATCCCGCTTTTCAAAAATGGGGATGAACATACATTTAACAACTACAGACCAGTGTCGCTGCTCTCTCAGTTTTCCAAAGTCCTGGAGAAATGGTTCTCTCATAGACTTACACATTTCTTAGATAAACATAACTTAATCAGTGAAAAACAGTATGGGTTCAGGACACAAAGATCTACAAGCCTAGCACTTATTGAATTGGTTGAAAAAATAACAGCTGCTACGGAAAGAAGAGAATATACCGTCGGAGTATTTATTGACTTACGCAAGGCATTTGATACCGTAAATCATGAGTTGCTACTGTCCAAATTATATAGCTATGGAATCAGGGGGCCAGTACACCAATGGCTTCAAAGTTATATTTCTAACCGTGAACAATATGTGCATATCAAGGGGGTGAATTCACATTACAAAAAGGTCACATGTGGAGTCCCACAAGGGTCCGTTTTAGGACCTTTGCTTTTTATTTTGTTTATCAATGACATCTGTGAAGCGTCTAATAGCTTAAACTTTTTGTTGTTTGCTGATGACACCAGTATATTCAACTCGGGTAATAACTTGCTTGAATTAACAGAAAGAGTTTGTGCTGAATTAAAAAATGTGAGGAATTGGTTTAATGCAAATAAGTTATCATTAAATTGGGACAAAACAAACTTTATGATATTTGGTAACAAAAATAAAAGTGATGATGTGAAAATCACAATTGATGGAGTTCGGATTGAAAGGGTTAATGAAGTTAAGTTTCTGGGCGTTGTCTTAGATGAAAAATTTAATTGGAAAGCTCACATAGACTATGTAAAGAAAAAAATTAGTAAAACTATTGGTATCATGTACAAAGTGAAAGATTTATTTGATTGTAGCTCGTTACATATGCTGTACTGCTCACTGGTTCTCCCATATTTCAGTTACTGCACTGAAATCTGGGGTAATACATATAGCACCAACACCAAACCCTTGTTTTTGTTGCAAAAAAGAGCTATAAGAATTATTAACAATAAACATTATAGAGAGCATACAAACATCTTGTTTATAGCATCTGGACAACTCAAGTTTAAGGATATTGTTGATTTGAAAATCTTGCTCCTTGTGTGGAAAGCTAAACAGAAAATGTTGCCCAATTATGTGCAAGATCTATTTTGCGTGAGTGATGGACACAGAAGAAAACACAACTTCCGAACCAAATTTGCCAGGACAACACTGAAACAGAAATGTCCCTCAGTTTATGGAGTTAAACTGTGGAACTCCTTGAATGAAGAACTCAAAGTTTGTAAAAGTGTGTGGAAGTTAAAGAGAATGTATAAAGTAAAAATTTTGAATGAATATAATCTAGGTTAAAAAGAGGATTGTATCTGACGAAATGTGAGACATTGAGGACTGTTGATGCGTTTGTGCAATTGGTGACTTGGGTTTTTGGTGTTTGGGGTTCAAATTGGGAAATTCAATTTGCTTTCCTTATTTTATTTTATTGTTTTTGTACAAAGGACAGGATATACAAGATTTATCTTCTTTCTGTTCCTTTTGTTCAGGTAAAAGCATGTATGAATGTGTCAACTGCAAACTGATTATGAAATTGCATGAACAATAAACATAATTGAATTTGAATTGAGAAGCCGACCCCCAACCTTTCATTATTTCTCATTTTAAACACTGATTCTTTTTCCTTCCAGGGCTTAACAACCTCCAGGGCAGCGGAGTTCCTGAAGCGGGATGGTCCCAACGCACTCACACCTCCTCCCACCACCCCGGAGTGGGTCAAGTTCTGCCGCCAGCTCTTTGGAGGCTTTTCCGTCCTGCTGTGGACTGGAGCCATCCTCTGCTTCCTCGCCTACGCCATCCAGGCAGCGACTGAAGACGAACCTGCTGGAGACAACGTGAGGCTATGTTCAATTTCAATGTGTATTATTTGAGCGATGAGTATCATCTAGGCTTTATTACAATTTCAAGTTCTATTACATTTTCATCTAGACACGAAAAAGCACATGGCCTCTTAAAAGAGGGGAAGCAGTACAAACATATAAACTCCTTGATATTTTTTCCAGCCTATTGTCACAACTTCTACATCCTCATTGTACATTCAAGCACCTGTATGCTTTTTATGTCCGTGATTTCTTATGGTTTTTTAAACACATTGCTGCCTTTGTTAGTCGTTTAGGCAAATCAAAAGTGTTTTCTCAGGTTTCGGGTTTGTCGTAAATTCCATGCTAATTCAGTTCAACAAAAAATATATGTTGTTTTCTAAATCTCGGTTGCCTAATTCTCAAACCACAACTAATGGAACATCTTTAGATCAGCTTTTTCAGAAAAGGTGAAAAAGGGAGGACCACCCTAATAATATGTTTTCATGTTTTCTAATAAGATGAAGACAGAAAGTTCTCACAACATTGTACTTCAACCAGACTCTTTCTGTTGCGACAAACAACATTATTTATAAAAGAAAATAAGTTTGGTCACCCCAGCTTTAACTATGATAATTTGAAGGCCCACGCTTCAAGATGTCTTCATTGGGAGTTTTTATGTCCTAGATATAGACTCCAATTGCTTTACCAATTTATCTTTGTTTGAATTTTTCAGCAAATATATTCATTTGTCAGTACGTTTACATGATTGTGGGATTTTTTTTCCCGCAGTTGTACCTTGGTATTGTGCTCACCGCTGTGGTCGTCATCACCGGCTGCTTTTCCTATTTCCAAGAAGCCAAGAGCTCCAAGATCATGGAGTCTTTCAAGAACATGGTGCCACAGGTGAGACCAAAAAGCGACTTTGACTTGGAAAAAACAGGGCACACTGTTTAAATCCATTCTCATGATGAAAAGTAGTTACATTATTCATTTTCACTGTTTTGTTACTTGGAGTTAATTTAGGAATAGCATGGACGGTCTGAAACAATTTTCTGAATCTGTATTACTTTATGGTAGTGCGGTAGTGTTGTTATGGCCTAAGGAAAAACTCTGCTTACGGCTAACTTTAGCTGCGACCTCAGTGTATGTAATATAAAATAATGATCCTCTGGTGTCGTAAATTATCTTAAAAGACAGAAACGTGGTAACAACATAATATGGTTCAACCTCTTTATTACAAGATTTCCATCGATTAATGATGAAAAAATAAACTGACAAAATTCAACATTTGTTCTACAGAGTTAGAGATGGCACTCATAAACGTACCAGAAGCTGTGTTGAGCTGAATTCAATTTCCTGCGGTCAAGTTGTTTGTGTCTTTCCGTGCGTTGATAGCAAGCCCTGGTGATCCGCGAGGGGGAGAAGGTGCAGATTAACGCTGAAGAGGTGGTGGCTGGAGACCTGGTGGAAGTGAAGGGAGGAGACCGTATCCCGGCCGACATCAGGGTGGTGTCTGCTCATGGCTGCAAGGTGCGAAAAATGACAACAACAATGTTTGGGCTGTGCCAGAGGTCGGAAAATCACAATATAAACTTTTTTCAATTTTGTCACAATATTTGGCTTAAATAATCATGATATTATTTAGCATGGGAATTGTTCTTCCTCTGCCTGTGCAAAAGTGCATAATACATATTTGAAAATAAACTAAAAAAATCAAATCAGAAATTGAGATGGTACAAAGGAATATCCAAATGAGTATTTTTTTTCTCGACACATGATGTTCAACTGTTTGGCCTCAAATAGATTTTCTAAAATATCAGATTTTCTTTTTCAAATGCTCTTTTGCCCTCTTTGTCACCTGGAGTAGCTATAGTACATTTTAGTGTGATACTTGAACTATAATTCAGACATTTACATTAATTCTATCACATTAGGAAAATATAATCCTATTTATCTGTGAATAACAGCAACTTAGTTCATATTTTTCTCCATCTTTCCTGCAGGTGGACAACTCTTCGCTCACAGGAGAATCTGAGCCTCAGAGCAGGTCGCCTGACTGCACCCATGACAACCCTCTGGAAACACGAAACGTCGCCTTCTTTTCAACTAACTGCGTTGAAGGTATTTGATATTCTGTTTATTCAGTTCAAGGGCAGGGGAGACAACCAAGTAGGAAACTCACAAATGTTTTTGTTTGGGATTGTGGTCCATACATTACACCATCTTCTTGTCTTTTCAGTGGGGAACATTTTATGCATGTGCCTTTCAATAATTCCACCAGTTTGGAACCATTATTTCAAGTTATTTATTTTTTTACATAAATTTGACTCTTTATTGTGTATAGGGTCAGTAATTACAGGTCTATTTACCATAAACCAGGATAAAACGGTCACTCTGAAAGGCAAACTTATACCATAGGAATCTGCAACACACACAGTGCAAGAACAGTTGGAATATAGGAAGCCTTCAAATACAGTATTGATAGCTATGAAAAGTGAAAGATAAGATAATATGTTGATAGGCCTACTTATAATCGGGGATTATAGCCATTTGGTTTATCAACTATTTACAATAGTGACTTTTTCTGTTGGTTATGGACAGTAGCAGATATTGTGACTAGTATGTTATTGGTGGGAGTATTGCAGTATTATTACAGCACTACACTATTAATATATATATATATATATATTATAGATATGTGAATCCCAGTCTGAAGTGAAAGACATCATTAACTTCTCATCTGTCTTCACTCAGGCACTGCCCGCGGTATTGTGATCTGTACTGGGGACCGCACAGTTATGGGGCGCATCGCCACACTGACGTCTGGCCTGGAGACGGGCAAAACCCCGATTGCCAAGGAAATCGAGCACTTCATCCACATCATCACTGGTGTGGCTGTGTTCTTGGGCGTCACGTTCTTCATCCTGGCCATTGTCCTCGGCTACAGCTGGCTGGAGGCTGTCATCTTCCTCATTGGCATCATTGTGGCTAATGTGCCCGAAGGGCTGTTGGCCACTGTCACTGTGAGTATAACAAAAATACCACCATATATATGGGAAACAAAATCGCTTATAAAAAATAGATCTTTAGAGGCACTTGGAAATAGACTTATATTTAAACCTTGTACATTTATTAAAGGAGCTCTGTTAATAGCATCTAAAGTCCAACCTGAATGTGTTGATAATGTGGCATTTTAGTGCCATGGTATTCCATAATACAGTGGGATGTCTTGTAAAAAAGAAATGACAAAAGTTGTTTTTTTTTTGTCTAAAGAAGATGACTCTTTGTAAAAGTACTTCATAAGCTCAGTCTAGTGTCTGAAACTGTGTTGAGCGGTTTTTGTGATGTGTAAGAGCGGTTTCTGTGTTGTGTAAGAGCAGTTTTTGTGTTGTGGCAGGTGTGTCTGACCCTGACGGCCAAGCGCATGGCCAAGAAGAACTGTCTGGTGAAGAATCTGGAGGCTGTGGAGACACTGGGTTCCACTTCCACCATCTGCTCCGACAAAACCGGCACTTTGACCCAGAACAGGATGACTGTGGCCCACATGTGGTTCGACAATCAGATCCACGAGGCTGACACTACAGAGGATCAGTCCGGTGAGAACACACACCACAACTAATACTACGACCACTGTATGGATATTAATCTTATGTTTTGTTCTTGTTTGTCCAGGTGCCTCGTTTGACAAGTCTTCCATCACATGGCAGGCTTTGTCGCGTGTTGCTGGCCTGTGTAATCGTGCTCAGTTCAAGGGGGGGCAAGAGGCCATTGCTATCCTGAAGCGGGACGTAGCTGGAGACGCCTCTGAGTCCGCCCTCCTCAAGTGCATCGAGCTGTGCTGCGGCTCCGTGCGACAGATGAGGGACAGGAACAAGAAAGTGGCCGAGATCCCATTCAACTCCACCAACAAATACCAGGTAAGACTTAAGCACATGCTGCAGATTAACTAGATGAATATAGTCACAAAACTAACATGGGCAGCCAGCCTCTCCACGTTTCCATGTGGATAAGAGTATCAAAATAATCCATCATGATTGACAGCACACACAAAAAACATGCTATCCAGTTCTGTTCATTTGCCTGACCAATCCATGTTGCATTTCAGCTCTCCGTCCACGAAACAGAAGACCCCAATGACAATCGTTACCTGCTGGTGATGAAGGGGGCGCCGGAGAGGATCCTGGACCGCTGCAGCACCATCATGATCCAGGGCAAAGAACAGCCCATGGACGAGGAGATGAAGGACTCTTTCCAGAACGCCTACATGGAGCTGGGAGGCCTGGGGGAGAGAGTGCTGGGTGAGGAGGCATGAGGGCTGGTTAATGCGGTCAAATTATCTAAGCAACATAAATACTTTGACAAAGGTATTATTAATTATTGTTTAAGAATCACATGTATAAATCAGGCATGAACCAAGTACACATTTTTAGAGCTGATACCAATGCTGGTCTTTTTCCTGGCCTAAAATACCATCTTTATCCAGGTTTCTGCCATTTGCTGCTGCCCGAGGACCAGTATCCAAAAGGCTTTGCCTTTGACACAGAGGATGTGAACTTCCAGACAGACAATCTGTGCTTTGTGGGGCTCATGTCCATGATTGACCCTCCCAGAGCCGCGGTGCCTGACGCAGTGGGAAAGTGCCGCTCTGCTGGCATCAAGGTATGTGTTTTTGTTTGTTTACCATGTCCTGTTTATGTTGTATTTATTTCCCTGTAAAAGTGTAATATGAATGTTTAAAAGAGACTTATGGTAAAAACAGTTCATCAATTGCAGAAAAAAAGTTATCTACAAAGAAGACAAGATGGCCCTTCCTGCTATACAGTGTTGGGTTTTGACTTAAGCCATATGTCTAAACTTAACTTTTAGGGGTGGATGTTATTGAAGAGCATTTTGTGTGTCTTGCCCTCTTTGATGTACAATAAGTGCAAACATTGAGTGTGTGTGTGTGTTTTCCTAGGTTATCATGGTGACTGGAGATCATCCAATCACAGCCAAGGCTATCGCCAAAGGTGTTGGCATCATCTCTGAAGGAAATGAGACAGTTGAAGACATTGCAGCTCGTCTGAATATTCCAGTTGGCCAAGTCAACCCCAGGTACGTCTACATGAACTAGACGGAACTATTTAGGTGACAATGTATCACAAGTGTACTACGTGAACTCTTGTACACATGTGTAAAATAGTACAGAAATATTGCACATAAGAATGGGACCGACTAGACTAGCTGCTCACTGCTTGGAGCGATCCTGTTCACAATTATAATGTTATCAATCCCATTAAAGTGATAAATACAAAACAGCCTAACACACCACTATAAAAGCCATTTTGATGTTTCCATAGAGACGCCAAGGCCTGTGTGATCCATGGGACAGACCTGAAGGACCTTTCACAGGACCAAATGGATGACATCCTGAGGAATCACACTGAGATTGTTTTTGCCAGAACATCTCCGCAGCAGAAGCTCATCATTGTGGAGGGTTGCCAGAGACAGGTATGATGATTGGCAGCTTTAAAAGAGTTCCCGGTTGTGATCCAGGCTCACCAGCAGATGGCACTGTTTGCCAAGTTTAAGACAGTTATTATGACAGAGTATATGAGCAACTTTTGCTCACTTTTATTATTATTTTTATATGTGTTGTTTTCTTTTTTCTGGAATTCTCCCCAGTTTGGCTAGCCTAAATATGACAAGCAAATATTTATGAAACGATGTACGCAAATATTTGAACCTACATAGCAGCATGGGTATTTAAAAGGTACACTTCAAATTAACAACATTTCTAAGAAATGTTTATCTTGATTTGACACTTAAAAAGAAATTAAGATTATTTTGATCACAATTCCCTATTCTAAGTTTTGCATGTTTATTGTTTATTGTAAGATCAGACCAATTTTGATTCACATATTTTACAATTCTGTCATGGTTGAAGTGTGTTGTCGGGTGTTTGATGCTCTTTTCTGATTTCAGGGAGCCATTGTCGCTGTGACAGGAGATGGTGTGAACGACTCTCCGGCTCTGAAAAAAGCTGATATCGGTGTTGCCATGGGGATCTCGGGCTCTGATGTGTCCAAACAGGCTGCGGACATGATCTTACTGGACGACAACTTTGCCTCTATTGTGACTGGAGTGGAAGAAGGTGAGACAGTGAGAGCAGGCGTATATAATTATATTGCAGGCACTGTCGCTGCCAATTTGTTGACACGCTGTATGCATATAGTAACCCCATAACAATCCTTGTGCTATCCTTGAGTGGAATTGAACCCCCAATAAGTAACAGTATAAGTGAATTTTGATGATTTTTCCCCTAATTTCTAAAACTTGTGCACAGAATCAGCAACAGAATATATGAGTGCAAAAAATGAAATTGTGCTGTAAAAGCATTCAATAATACTCAAATGAACAGAAAGACGACCTATCTCAAAAACTCAGTGACTTTTTAAATGACTATTATCAGTGTGGTACGATTAAGCAAAGTAGCTATACAAACATCTACATATTTGGAGACTTTTTTTTTTTGAGTTCACAATCATCAAAAGATCCACATTTGGCTCATGAACCATATCTTCCTGACCTCTGCTATATAAGCTGCAGAGTTCACAGATTTTGTAGAAAAGTAGCGGCTTATAGGACAGAAAATACTATAATAATGAGCATTCTAAATTCATCGGGGTGTTTATTTGAGTCATTGAGAACCACACTGTTGTGCAGGGCGTCTGATCTTTGATAACCTGAAGAAGTCCATCGCCTACACTCTGACCAGCAACATCCCAGAGATCACTCCCTTCCTGTTCTTCATTATTGTCAACATTCCTCTGCCGCTGGGAACCATCACCATCCTATGTATCGACCTGGGCACTGACATGGTAACACCTGCTCAAACAGAAGCCTTCAAACATTTACACACACAACTACTAATCCAGTTAATGGTGTGTTACCATTTACATAACAAATTGTCTGTTGTATATCCTCAACTCTTCAATATGTTGTTATGAAAACTGGGCAATAGATCAAATTGATTTGAATATTCAACCTTTTTGAAACGTCAAAATCAAGGCAATCAAAAAAATCAAGATCATGGCAATCAATTTGAAATAGTGAAATCAAGGACAGGATAATGTGTCCTCTGGCCTCTTCTCCTTGGAGCGTCTGGAGTTCAGCCGAACTGTGCAGCGAGTCTACAACAGTGTTTTTGAAAAGGCACAAAATCAACCATACATCAGACGTCAGCAATGTACTATACTTTTTTGATCATTTGGAATGGCACAACAAAATTAACATATAACGAATAAATGTAGGTATATGATCGTGTTAAAGCCATGGGTGATCTAACAGTTTAGGTAGCTGATTTTCAAACCAAATATTATTCTCCAAAATATTTTAATTAATCATACCTTTCTCTGTCTCTGGCCATTTTGTACATGATACATGCTACATGAATTCATTAAAAGTGACACTAATGCATCTGAAACCGAACACTCAATTTTCTAAGAGCCTTTCAAACAACCATGATGAAAATATGTCATGGTTCTGCCTCTCAAAGTGAATGGTGTGTGTGTTTTCCCCATCAGGTCCCAGCTATTTCTCTGGCTTATGAAGCAGCCGAGAGCGACATCATGAAGAGGCAGCCCAGGAATCCATTCAGGGACAAGCTGGTGAATGAGAGGCTGATCAGCATCGCCTATGGACAAATCGGTAAATTCACATAAGATTGTTTTGAAAAATAAAGGCTATAACAGAAAGCTGATGCGAGTGAGAAGTCATATTTCTGGTGGCGGTAGATCAATATCCAATGTGTGTTTTGTTGTTTTGTGCAGGTATGATCCAGGCCTTGGGTGGGTTCTTCACATATTTTGTCATTTTGGCGGAGAATGGATTCCTGCCCTCTCATCTGGTGGGCATCAGACTGAACTGGGATGACCGCTCAACAAATGACTTGGAGGACAGCTATGGACAGCAGTGGGTGAGTGGTTTGTGTGAATGAATGATTGAATGAGAAATGATGGATTGACAACATTTACTGTACAAGCAAGAGCACACTTTGTTTATTTTCATTATTATCATGTTTTTTTTAATTCTAGAAGTCATGGCTTTTTTTGATACTGGCATGACACTGATTATTATAGAGAATTTTGTATTGGGGATTGGCTATCTTATAACTTATATGTAACTTTGTTTTTTGATCAGTCATTTGATGTGGAGCAAAAATAAGGTGGGGGGCTGACATTTTTATACAAGATAGCAACATAGATTAATAAAAGCAAATAAGAGCAACATCAGGAAACATTTAAGGGAAACATGAAAACTTTAAATTTCTATTCAATTCTGTATATCAACTAAAAATGTGAAAAATCATGTCAAATGTATGATAATATATATCATTATCATATCAGAATGTGTCCTGGATTCAGAAAACTTGATCCTGAATGTTTCAATTGAACCTCCATCCATCCATCCATTTTCTACCCCTCAATCCATTTCTGGGTAGGGGGGTGGCCAGAGATGCCACCTAGTACACATAGCACCAGCCCCCCAATTGAACCTAATGGCTCGTATTCCACATGGATTTAAAATGTTTATTATAATTGAATTGTGCAAGTGTCAATAAGTTACAATCAGTTGAAACATTTTTCTCCTCTTTAACAATGTGCAATCCTGGTTTCTCTGACAGACGTATGAGCAGAGAAAGATCGTGGAGTTCACCTGCCACACCGCCTTCTTCGTCAGCATCGTGGTGGTGCAGTGGGCCGACGTCATCATCTGTAAAACCAGGCGTAACTCTGTGTTCCAACAGGGCATGAGGTGCGAGCAACACTTCCACGCTCACAGTCACATAAACATCGGCCTCTGTTGTCCTCGTGAATCTAACAATCTCTGCTTCTCTGCCCAGGAACAAGATCCTGATCTTTGGCCTGTTCGAGGAGACTGCCCTGGCTGCTTTCCTCTCCTACTGCCCTGGGATGGATGTGGCTCTCAGGATGTACCCTCTCAAGTAAGCCTTTTTTTGCTCTGATCATTTAAGTTCAATGTGCAGTCTATCCTTAACCCAAACACTTTTTTGTTTGTTTTTTTATTTTAATTTTAAAGTAATATTCAAAAATTATAAACATGTGAATTCAAATATGTGAATCAAAATTATTAAAAGGCTGCCCCAATAGTATATATATATATATATTTTTTTTTCTAACAATACTACATAGGGGTATGCTAAAAAGAGATTCTTAGCTATATATTGAGTTTGTAAAAATGAGATGAGTTGTAAAGTAATATAGATTTTATTTAAACTTTTTTTTCTATTTATTCAGATTGTATACAATCAATATGAATCTATATCAATTTTGTTTTGATATTTTGACTTTAATAACAACTGATCTTCAATAAATCAAATATAAATGTATCAATAGTGTTGTATTAGCAGAGCATTCGATATGGGGCCATAACTTTTTGTTTTTTACTGAACTCTATTTTATTGTTTAGGAATATATCAAACCTTATCGAATTTAAAGTCCCTCTTTTAAGTCCCTCTGACTTTATTATGATTTTATTTATTTATTATGATTTGATGAACTTGTGTTTCTCTCCACAGGCCAACATGGTGGTTCTGCGCATTCCCATACAGTTTCCTCATCTTCGTTTATGATGAAATCCGAAAACTGCTCATTCGCCGCAACCCCGGAGGTCAGCGCCCCATCTCCACTTCAAATGAAATACATTCTCACATCCAACGACATTTCTTTGTGTCTAATCCATGCTGTTTTGCTCTCCTCTGCAGGTTGGGTGGAACGGGAGACATACTATTGATGGAAATCCCTCTTTTTCGCTCCAATCCTTCACTTCTCCCTAATTATGCCACTTCATCTCAGCAAGACACATTTTCGGACGCCCCCCTTATTAGGACTCTTCGACGCTTTTACGCAACTTTCGTCACAACTACCCAAAGATTTGAACCGCAAACACACCTTTACGACTTTCTACATGACCCTTTCCCAATTCCCCCACCTTTCTCATCTTCTATAATACTCTTTGCATGTGTACATAAAACGATATATATTTACCAAAAGGCAGCTGCGTATAAAAATGTAAATTTGATTGAGCCGAGGATACAAAGAGAGAGTCTATCTATCTATCTCTGCTCTGCTAACAAGGGCAGTCCCGCTCCTTATAAGAAATCCTTCATCTTTCCCTCATTCCAGCCGTCTTTTATCGTCTGAACCAAATCTTCAGCCCTGGTCACGCACACACGTATATGAAATCATCGACAGCAGCCTTTGAACTCACTGCACTGCAAAATCTGACTGTCGGAAACAAGTTGAAAACGCTCAAAATCAGAATTACAAGGCTTCATTTTGAACATTTACACAGGACGTATAACGCAAAAAAACGACTTCAAAATGATGTAAGCCATGATATAATAGCGCTCCCTCGTTGTTTGTTTACTCATGCGGTGTTTTTTGATTGATTTATGCCTGTTTGAGTAATCCACAGCAGGCGCAACACTGCACATTTGTGAATTAGCGCTTTAAGAAATTAGAAAAATCCATTAATTATTGTTTTTGCTCTCATGCCACCTTGAATAAGAGTAAAACTGCTCCGTTCTGTTTGCAAATGTAATTGTCAAAAGATCAAGATTACTCGCAGCGATAATAATTTGGCTCGGTGTAAGAACTGACGTCAAAAAATCTACATTCCTGAGATTTGTCCGATTTATTTCATTTTAATTGTACATTTTGATCATCACGTATTTTCTTTGCAGTGCAGCCGCCTTCTCCCCACTCCCTCGCCCGTCCCGCCTCGTTTGTGTGCCGTGTGTACCCCCTGCCCCACCTGATAAGGTCCCCCATTCTTTCAGTGTGCTATAGAAAATATATCATTCCGTAACTTTCGAAAAACGACCACAAGCAATCACACCTCCACGAAACGAGACAAAAGCAATGCAAGACGCGTACTTTATTCGGTCACTTTTGCGTCTGGACAAAAGCAGGGTTGTGTGTGTGAATGTGCGTGAGACCAGTGTTCTCTCAGGCTCTACTCCAGTTTAGCTCTGACTCAAGATGGCTGCCAGTGGGAAATGCAACATACAAAGAATAAAGTGAGACTACACATCAAGTAGAGCAAGTGTGTCAAACTAATGAAATCAATAAAACATCTAGAACATTTAATACAACCCGCCTCTGTCTGAGTTTTTCTTTTAAAATGATGAGTGTGTGTCAACTTTTTTTGTCTTGCTGTGTTTACTGATAACCTCATGTTGTTAGGTCTCGTAATATCTACAGTTAATTTAAGATTAAGAGATCCTTTATTCGTTCCACAGTGGGGAATTTTGTGTGTGCAAATTATGAAACTGCAGGAATGAGGATTAGACAACACAGGATCAGATAAGTGAATATTCAGTATAGCACAACTCTTCATAAGAATAGATTAAAATCTTTACCGTTAGCTTACTAAAGAAACTAAGTAAAAACAAGTATACATATACAAGGTATAAACCTGTATACTCTAGTGCAAAGAAATATATACTTGAAACTTCATATTCATATTTGTCTAAATGTGTAAAACTATATTCACCAAATAGAAAAAAACAACATAAATAAACTTTAAGTAGTGGCAATATAATATATAATATATTATGTTAATAGAATAGACTATAGAATAATTCATAATTAAATCAAAATACAAGAGAACTTGACTGCATTGAAGAAATGGTTTTATGAAAAAGGGAAACCTTAATGGCTCTTCACTCTTACACTATTCTTGACTTGTTTAACCATGAGATTTAAAAATGTAAATGGCCACTCTAAAGTAGGATTACAACAAGTTTGGAAGTTGACAAATCAATGAATTGTCTGTCTATTATTTTTACTTTCCTCTTGGACATTAGAAGAATTATATCCTGAATAATAAGGTTTTAAAATAAAAGAATTCATGAAATTCTTTGGTGTAATATGCAACTTTTCTAAAACTATTTGAACAAGGGTGGAGATCTCAACACAGATGAATGCATGTTAGACAATATAGATATATACACTGTATCTATACTGTGACACGAGACTACTTCATGCCCATTGATAAAAGCACAATATCAGGACGATCCTGGTAAACATGAATTGTCCTTAAAATCAACCTACAAAAGCTTAACCAAAAAACAGAAAATAAAATAATGTTCATAATTTACATAATATACAGTACACATTAGAGAGGGTTCATAAAGTTATTTTTTACATAAAAGCAAAGTACAATTTCACTGCCCTGATGAACCGAGTAATTTATGTAATGATTAAAACCATGTCAATCCATGTAAACATTTAAGGATTGTTCATAGATTTTATTATCAAATGTTAAAAACTGCTACCCTAAGTGACTTATTCTATTGGATGTATCCATCCATCCATCCATTTTCTTCCGCTTTATCCGTTGCCGGGTCGCGGGGGCAGCAGTCTAAGCAGAGACGCCCAGACTTCCCTATCCACACACACTTCCTCCAGCTCGTCCGGGGGGACCCCGAGGCGTTCCCAGGCCAGCTGAGAGACATAGTCTCTCCAGCGTGTCCTGGGTCTTCCCCGGGGCCTCCTCCCGGTGGGACGTGCCCGGAACACCTCCCCAGGGAGGCGTCCAGGAGGCATCCTGAACAGATGCCCGAGCCACCTCAACTGGTTCCTCTCGACGTGGAGAAGCAGCGGCTCTACTCCGAGCTCCTCCCGTGTGACTGAGCTCCTCACCCTATCTCTAAGGGAGCGCCCAGCCACTCTGCGGAGGAAGCTCATTTCGACCGCTTGTATCCGCGATCTCGTTCTTTCGGTCATTACCCAAAGCTCATGACCATAGGTGAGGGAGGGAACGAAGATTGACCGGTAAATCGAGAGCTTCGCCTTTCGGCTCAGCTCCCTCTTCACCACAACGGTCCGATACAGCGACCGCATCACTGCGCACGCTGCACCGATCCGCCTGTCAATCTCACGCTCCATTCTTCCCTCACTCGTGAACAAGACCCCGAGATACTTGAACTCCTCCACTTGAGGAAGGACCTCTCCACCCACCTGGAGAGGGCAAGGCACCTTTTTCCGGTCGAGCACCATGGCCTCGGATTTGGAGGTGCTGATTCTCATCCCAGCCGCTTCACACTCGGCTGCAAACCGTCCCAGTGCATGCTGCAGGTCCTGGTTCGTTGGAGCCAACAGGACGACATCATCCGCAAAAAGTAGAGATGAAATCCTGTGGTTCCCGAACCGGACCCCCTCCGGCCCCTGGCTGCGCCTAGAAATTCTGTCCATAAATACAGTGAACAGAACCGGTGACAAAGGGCAGCCTTGGCGGAGGCCAACATGCACCGGGAACAGGTCTGACTTATTGCCGGCAATGCGAACACAGCTCTGGCTCCGGTCATACAGGGACCAGACGGCCCTCAGCAGAGGACCCCGGACCCCGTACTCCCGGAGGACCCCCCAAAGGACACCCCGGGGAACACGGTCGAACGCCTTCTCCAAATCCACAAAGCACATGTGGACAGGTTGGGCGAACTCCCATGAACCCTCGAGTATCCGATGGAGAGTATAGAGCTGGTCCAGTGTTCCGCGACCGGGACGAAAACCACACTGCTCCTCCTGAATCCGAGATTCGACCATCGGGCGTAGCCTCCTCTCCAGTACCTTGGAGTAGACCTTACCGGGGAGGCTGAGGAGTGTGATCCCACGATAATTGGAACACACCCTCCGGTCCCCCTTCTTGTAGAGAGGGACCACCACCCCGGTCTGCCACTCCATTGGCACCGCCCCCGATCGCCACGCGATGTTGCAGAGACGTGTCAGCCAAGACAGTCCTACAACATCCAGAGACTTTAGATAGTCAGGACGGAGCTCATCCACTCCCGGCGCCTTGCCACCATGGAGGCTGCCAACCACCTTGGTGACCTCGGCCAGGGAGATGGAAGTGTCCGCCCCAACATCCTCAGCCTCTGCCTCCTGAACGGAGGACGTGACGGGGGGATTGAGGAGAACCTCGAAGTATTCCTTCCACCGCCCGACAATATCCTCAGTCGAGGTCAGCAGCCCTCCACCCGCACCATACACGGTGTTGGCAAAGAACTGCTTCCCCCTCCTGAGGCGCCGGACGGTTTGCCAGAACCTCTTCGAGGCAGACCGATAGTCATGCTCCATGGACTCTCCGAACTCCTCCCAGTCCCGGGTTTTTGCCTCTGCAACAGCCCGGGCCGCGGCACGCTTGGCCTGCCGGTACTGGACAGCTGCCTCAGGAGTCCCACGAACCATCATTGCTCGATAGGACTCCTTCTTCAGCCTGACGGCATCCCTTACTGCCGGTGTCCACCACCGGGTTCGGGGATTGCCGCCGGGACCAGCACCAGAGACCTTGCGACCACAGCTACGAGCCGCCGCATTGGCGATAGAGGAAGAGAACATGGTCCACTCGGACTCGATGTCCCCCTCCTCCGCCGGGACCTGGGAGAAGCTCTCCCGGAGGTGTGAGTTGAAAGTCCGTCTGACAGGGGGCTCCGCGAGACGTTCCCAGCAAACCCTCACTATACGCTTGGGTCTGCCAGGTCTGACCGGCTTCTTCCCCTGCCAGCGGATCCAACTCACGACCAGGTGATGATTGGTTGACAGCTCCGCCCCTCTCTTTACCCGAGTGTCCGAGACACGCGGTCGAAGGTCAGATGATACGACAACAAAGTCGATCATCGACCTCCGGCCTAGGGTGTCCTGGTGCCACGTGCACTGGTGGACACCCTTGTGCTCGAACATGGTGTTCGTGATGGACAGGCCGTGACTGGCACAGAAGTCCAACAACTGAACACCACTCGGGGTCAGATCAGGGGGGCCGCTCTTCCCGATCACCCCTCTCCAAGTGTCACTGGCATTTCCCACATGGGCGTTGAAGTCCCCCAGGAGAATAACGGAGTCCCCGGGCGGTGCACTGTCCAGTACCCCTCCCAAGGACTCCAAGAAGGCCGGGTACTCTGCACTACCGTTAGGCCCGTAGGCCGTCACAACAGTGAGAGACTTGTCCCCCACCCGGAGGCGGAGGGACGCGACCCTCTCATTCACCGGGGAGAACTCCAACACGTGGCGGCTGAGATGGGGGGCAATGAGTATGGCCACCCCAGCTCGCCGCCTCTCCCCGTGGGAAACACCAGAAAAGTGGAGCGTCCAACCCCTCTCAAGGAGTTGGGTTCCAGAGTCCAAGCTGTGTGTGGAGGTGAGGCCGACTATCTCTAGTCGGTATCGCTCAACCTCCCCCACAAGCTCGGGCTCCTTCCCCCCCAGTGAGGTGACGTTCCACGTCCCAACAGCCAGATGTTGGGTGTGTGGACTGGGTCGTCGAGGTCTCCGCCTTCGACCGCTGCCCAGTCCTCGCTGCACCACGCCACCACGGACCCCTCTGCAGGTGGTGGGCCCACAGGAGGGACTGCCCACGTCATCCCTTCGGGCTGAGCCCGGCCGGGCCCCGTGGGCTAAGGCCCGGCCACCAGGCGCTCGCTTGCGAGCCCCGACCCCAGGCCTGGCTCCAGGGTGGGGCCCCGGCTGCGCCATGCCGGGCGACGTCACGGTTTTTGTTGTCGTGCTGTCCATGGTTGGCTTCGGACCATTGGATTGGATTGGATGTATCCCACATAAAAGAGCAAAGACACAGTGGAGATGATAAATATCGAGCCGCAGCACATACTGTATGAGGTGACCGCTGGACTGGACACACTCCCATGAACAGGCCATGACTTGGTTCTCTGAGCTTTCCATTGTGCAGTGAGTGGATCCGGCGCTGAGAAACTGCAGCTTGTGTGACTTCTTCATTCTCACTATGCGGAAACCAAAGATGTTCCAGAGCAGCTCTTCAACAAGCAAACCAGCATCCACCACTCACAGTCCTCAGTCACGCTCCTAATTTCCCCCGCGCCTCTGCAATGCACCCCCCCCCCCCCCCCCCCTCCTCCTCTCACACACACACACACACACAGAGCATATAATAGAATATCGATCGGTGCCTTTGCCGCAGTGTGGACCAGTCGGGGCCCTCCAAGGTCACATCCATGGCAACGGGAGCACAGGGTCCTCCGGCTGCGCTGTCACCAAGCAGGGGTCACAGGGGCCAGGCAGAAAAGGGGGACACAAGTGGGTGGGGGTGGGTGCGAAAGGCTTGGACCTGTAAGAAGTATAGGCGAGGATGTGTGGAGGGTAGAATACAGTCGCCGCTGTTCGGTTTGACAAAAGATTTAGCTTAAGATGAAGATCCTTTAATCGTCCCAGGGTGTGGAAATTTCAGCATTGCATCACAAGTTACAATAGGAATGAGGAGCACACAAGAGAAGAGAGTGAATATTCAGTATAGCACAACTCTATGCTTAAACAAATAAATTAAAATCCCCATATTTGGCTAACAGAAGCATTTGACAAAGGTGCAAGACACACAGAAGATGGCGGTGAGTGTTTGTGCCATCTGTGCCAAAATGCTGGGAAACGGTTGCAGAAATCAACTAGTATCACAAATTGTTGAAAAAAAAGAAAATAAGAAAAGCAACTGCAAGAATGGATGGAAAATAATTGATTGATGATTGATCACTCACACATGCATGAATGCACCTATGATTACAATGTTCTTTGGCATCTGATCATATACTGTAGATAGAAGTCTGAAGGCAAAAGTATTGTTCAAAAATCCATGTCTGGATTTTTAAACAACTTTCAAAAAACAAATAATCTGACAGACCCATTAAACGCAGTGAGATATCTCAAGCCTTTCTATGTCGTGTTGCTATTTGGCTCAGTTTGTAAAATCCCCAAATGAGACTAAAAGACTAAAAAAATCTTTAAAAAGGCATAATCAAAATTATACGCACATATCTTATACTAGTTCCACATTTTAAGTTGAATTACATAAACATTTGAATAGTATTCTTAGTCTGAGTTTAACCTGTAAATATATGGTAACTTTACTTTAAATCATTTGAAGCAGTCATTCACTTTCCACTCCACTACATTTAAAAGTGCTGTGTGTTAGTTTTATAATAAAGATAAAATGTTGAAATATCTTCCATAAGTGTGTGAAAAGTGCTGTGACGAACCATTATTTGAGAATGGATGAATCTTGAAATTAGTTACAATAATACTAGCCTGGCCTTAGCCATCCTTACACTCGGTTCAATCATCATTTCACTGCATGTAACGTCTGAGTCTGGTCCATGTGTTAGCGAATACAATCGGTTGAATTTTGACCGACCATTCAGAGAGCGCGGAAGGCGGGTGTTGTAGTTAGTTGTGGGTGATGTCAAGAGTTTGCATTGAACGGGAAGGTTGTAGTTTGGCAATGGCGAAAAATGTGATAGTAAAGTAATCCAGTCTGGTTCTATCAAGAAATTGAAGCCGGAGCAAGAGGAATGTTTAGCAAATGTAATCGCTGGAAAAGAATTGTGGCACTACTCCCCACGGGCTCCGTTAGCGGCAAAGGAGATGGCTTGGCTAAATGCTAAATGTTAACAGACTCGGGCGCAGTACATAAACTCAGATCCAATCGTTTCAATCTGCAAAAGGAGTTGACCCCTCCCACCTGTAAACGGAGCTCAATGGAGCACGTCCAGACCTTAGTAAAAAATGTCATTTGTACTATGGTGTGGTACGACCAGGCTACAATAATACATACACATCTAAAATTGAACAGCATAAAAGATTAGGTGCAGACACTTCAGGATATTAGGAATACAAACAAACACAATATTGTGGTTAATAACGTTTATATACCAGTTTATTGCACTTCAAAATGTTTTTTTTATTTTTTTTTTTACATACAGTTAGACTAAAGTCTAAAAGTTCCAAAATAAAATAAGATACAAAAAAACTTGACCTTCTCAATTCTGCATATGGACCACAGTAACTCTTTGTGCCCTGATCACACCAAACCTGGAATAAAACTTGCCTTAGAACAAAGCCCTTTGATAGACTCAGACCTTACAATTCTTCAACTTTTAATTAAAGTTCTATTATTTTTGGCACTGTAAACACAGATTGTCTATGAAGCTTTTTAATAGCAAAACCTCTTGACATTTCTGATTAAAATGTAGTCATGTGAATGGATCAAAAGTTACATTTTCAGAGGCAAGAAACAAATGTTGCAATGTTTGCAGGCATTCAGTGAGAACAGAGAGAAAATACAAAAAATACAAGCATGATTTTTTTTTATATATAAACGAGATTTCATAATTTATCAATCTAAATTACTTGTACTCACAGATGCACACAGATTATTTTAGTATTTGTGCAAAGGAAAGATAGAATACCCCAAATCACTACAAATACAACTTTGCATATGTAAATGACTCTGAGACAGAAACTGTATTGTAACATGATAAAAAGCTCTTACTGTTGATTTTGCACATTGCACCTATACATAAATACAACATCATTTGTAGAAAATTCAAGCCAAATGTTGCATCATTTCTTTTTGGCACCACCTTTGCGGTTTGACGTGTGTACATTAGGACACAGAAACGGGATATACAGAAAATAAGAAAGCTCAGTCCCCTATAGTCTCTGTGATTGCACTATGTGTTTGAAGCCTCATCACTGACTGTCCCCCACTGAGGCGCGGCCCTCTCACACCGGCTCCATGAGCAGCTCGTCCAGGTCTGACGCCTCCACCTCGCGGAACGCAGCGTGAGAGCCGATCACGAACAGCGTCGCTCCTGTCAACACATACAACACTTTGAGATGGTTTCCCCCAAAAGATATATGCCTCATTTACAATTTTCCTTAAACTATTTGAGCTCCACAGCTGGACTGTTTTTACATTTAACGCAGTAGCAGTGGGACTTGCATTAAAAACAGCAAAGAGTGCAAAAGAAACATTGAAATCATTTTCTAATCTCTATAACATATTCTCTCTATACATATTGCTCATTGAACTTGCATTGGAATGATCACAGGTCTATTTTCACGCTATAGTCCCACACCTGATAAGCATTTGTACTGTAAATTAGTAATAGTATCTGTTACAAAGACATAAAATGTATTCACTCTACTACTTCTAATACCAGTTTTATTCTAAATATTTAATATGTTAAATCTCAATTTCAGTGTATGCCTACATCTATATATCTATACATATACCATCAAGACAGTTGTTAATTGTTATTCAGAATTCTTAATACATCCAGAAGAAATGTATGCAGATTTACCAAGCACCCAGAAAACAGCAGCTCCAGCACCGGCCAACCAGAAGACGGGCAGAGACACAGCTCCTGCTAGGCCCATCTGATGGGGCATCGCCAGCTCTCTGCCTGAACGCACGAGAAAAAGTCTTGGGGTTTATTCAACAATGTTATACATACATGACCAAGGCCAGACCGACTGCAGAGTAATTATCTGGTGAATGCTCATGGTAAAAAAATATGTATCATAATTTCCTGTTGCTTACCCATAATGACGAGTTTCTTCTCCAGAGACTTGAGGTGAATAATGTAGAAGGCTCCAACAAACACAGCCAGGGCGATCAACAGCATGGGAGAGCTCACACTGTAAAACAGCAATACTGATTCATATGATACACTATATGTATATACACTAATGCTACTAATTATTTATTCCTAGCATAGCTCTAAAATGTACTTTGTCACTTAGGAACATCATTATAAGCAAGGAAAATCTAGCAGAAAATAAGGATACAGGCCTTACATGCAGTAGAGAATGAGTCCCAGAAATATAAAGGTGTAGTTGCTGTTATAAACATCCACATTTTTCACCACTCTCTGACACAGCTCTCCGAAGTTTCGCGGTTTAGAGAATTTCCGTTGGTCGACAAAACTGGCCCATGGTCGGATGGACACTCTGCGTTTGTCCAGCCACTCTTTGGCCATGGCAGGGGAGAAACCTTTGGGAATACCCAGCCTGCAAAAAAAAAGAAAAGAAGTGGGGTTTGCAAAAGTAATCATACAGCTAGGGCTGGGCGATATGGCAAAAAAAAAAAAATCTCCTATTTTTTCACACCAAATCCGATTTTCGATTTTAATCGATTTATTTTTTTCTATTTAAAAACAAACTACAACTGACAAAGAAATAGATTTTCCTTTATGCAGTTTAATCTAAATCCCCATGGAGCATACGTGTAACAAGAATTAAGCCTTGAAACATGCTTGTAAACGAGATGGCTCTGCCATTGTAAACAGTGAAAATGTAGCTTGACAGTTTTATAATAACTTCACTTACAATGACACTATGCACCTTCAAAATAACTTAAATCACACAAACAAGGCCCATCGCAAATATATCAATCCTATTAAACACATGCATTATTTACATGAAATATCACATTTTTAAAACTGATTACTCAAAATAGAAATGTTGTAACAGACAGTCTTTTCCAAAAGCCTCCTCGGGTTTTCATGCTTGTTCTTTCAACTGTGCCTGAGTAACTGTGCTGTAGTACAACGCTCGGTCCAGCTGGTGGCGCTAATACTAACTTCAGTGACTCCCGCATTGTGCGAGCTTCCTGTTTACATTCTGATGCTGTAGCTAACAGCTACTGTAGCAGCTACTGTAGCTAACAGACAGCGGGGAACACGTTGTTTGTATCAGAGCAATGAGAACAATGTGTGAGACGTGTCTTTCCCCAAAGTGCAGCGGCTCAGTGGGACACGAGTGTGTGTGTGCGCGCCACGGACACGGGAGTGCGCTTTGGAATAACGAGCGTGAGAGAGCGTGAAAGATGTGGCGTACGACCGGAGCCTGCGTGTGTGTGTGTGTTTTGGCGATTAAATAAAGTCTGATTCTTGAACGTTTGAAGTGTTATTGTAACAGCACCAACTGTGAGAGCGAGCATCAGGCCAGAGGGAGACTGTTAGCATTAGGTTAGCTTCAAAATGACTGCTCAACACCATAGACCCGCGGTTAGCGCGTTAGCGCTGTAGTTCTGCGCTGGAGAAAATAAAAATCGAATTTTTAAAAAAAGAAATCGCCCTAAACGTAAAACTCGAATTAATGATTAAAATCGATTAATCGCCCAGCCCTACATACAGCATTTACTAATATCATAGCAGTTACTACTATGTGGAATCCCCAGCTCCAGAAGCTTTTTGTCCAATATTGTCCTCCATTTTGCTACATCCACCTTATTATCAACTCTGACATTCTTCACTTTCCCTGCTGAAGAAAAGCAGCCCATAATGCTAGACTGGCGGTGATAAGCAGTGTTAGTTGAGCCATACGTAACATTTTGCATGTTGATTGTGTCCCCTGCTTTGCTTCTTGTGTCTTTATTTCAACACTGGCTTTCCATTCACCACTTGTCCATAAAGGCCATTTTTGTGTGGTGTTTGACTTATATTTTCCCCATGTACAGATTCCCCCAGGTGAGCTGTGGATGTAAGTAAGTAATATTTATTTATATAGCGCCTTTCACAGACCAGAGTCACAAAGCGCTTTACAATGTTTGCAGGTCCCCCAGAGTAACCATGGGCATCTGTGATCAGTGTTGTTCTTGATTGAATCGTGAGTTTGGGAGGACAGCAGAGTATTGGTAGATGTGTTCCTTGGCCTTCATGATGTCTTTTAAAATAATAACAGAATTATGTATCATTTTGCTATGTATAATAGCAGTCGCCTGTTAGTTGTCTGCAAACAATCAAATCTTTAGGTTTATGGCTTTAAACTTGACAAAATGTGCAAAAGGTATACTAGTACTTTCGAGGAGCATCATTACTGAAAAAAATAAACGTAAATATAAATTAAAAATCACACAGATTGATGCAATTTATAAAATATTTGTTGAATTTCTAAAGCTCCAAGCAGTGACATTGTTGTTTGTACAGGACAGCCTTGTTAAACTTACTTAGCCAGGATTCCGGCTCCGCCCGTGCCTGTGGGAAAGACCTCCTTAGCACTGAATAGATCCCCTGCTTTACTGTCCATGTCCACCTCACAGTTTTCCCCTTTAGGAGCTCCAGAGGACATTGATAGCCTTATCTGCAACACATGGGTCATAAGTGTAAACAATACAAACTGACCAGCATATATTCTCTTGCGTCCTGAGCCTATTTAAGACCAGACAGCATAGTTTGGTCCTGCTCCTCTCCAGGTTTTGTTTTGAATCAAGTTCCACAAATGGCATATCCAACAGTGAACAGTCTTTTATTACAAAATAAGTAGGTTGCCTAAAAATAAAAAAGAACCACACGAAAATGTTATGGCAATGTGGGATTCTGCAAAACATGTATCTAAATATGTTAAGTTTTAAAGAGGATCCCTGCCAGCACCTGACATGAACACTATTCCATCCCAATTACAGAGAGATTTAAGCACAAAAATGCCCATTTCAGGCAGTATACTTGAATTTGACAAAATACGCTATAAGATATCATTAACATAAATATGTTTTTGTTTTTGTGAATTACACTTCAAGCAGCCTCGGTGGAAAATGTTAGCTATGGAAAATGTGGGTCGGTAGAAGAAAGTGTGCAATGAAACAAGTCAGAATTCAAATATATAATTATCTTTACACGAAGCCATTATGCTTTGATTGCTAGTTTGAGCAGCACATACATGTAAAGCTAAAGAGGAGAGTGGAAATTGAAAAAAAAATTGTTTTAGTAACAATGCAAACCATCAAAGCTGTCAAATATCGATCTGTAAGAGCCAACGCTAAGAGCACAACAGGTTTAGTAAAGGTATTGTTTGAGTAAATAATAGACGGGTTAAATCGTATTTTTAAACTTACTTGTTGAAGATGTTCGCTTGTATGTTGTCTTTGCCAATGCGGAAGTGATGTGGACGAATGCGGTCGGGTTTCCTGCATGGATCTTCCTGTTGTTTTGGGCAAACTACGCCACCTGTTGTAAGGTCTGTTTATGGACGTACACTTCCTTTCTTCTTTGTATGCCCTTTGTGGCATAAATTCTTACCTTTAAAAACATAGCATCAAAACCATAGATGATCTGATTAAAACATCTGAAATTGAAAGGGCAAGTCGGAATGCAGCTGTCAGAATCATGCCCTATAAATGTTTCCATTGTGAGATGAATAACGTTTATCTTATGTTATCAGACAAGTTCTTTCATAAACTTTTACTTTTTGGGAATCTGTGCAATCAAAATAATTTTAACGAATGAGGAATAGTTAAAACATTACTAAAAACAATGCTATAATGTTATAAAGTATTACAGCAACAACAACATAATCCATTCCATGGACAAAATAGGAAACTTCACAGTGAAAACACTGATTACACTTTTCACAATATCAACACATATGGTTAGAACTACCACCGTGACAGTTTATTTTTATTTTTATGCAATGTCAATGATTCATGGTCAAAACATCCATCCATCCATCCATCCATTTTCTGCCCTTTAATCCATTTCTGGGTCAGGGGGGTGGCAGTCAGAGATGCCACCCAAGTCTCATAGCACCAGCCCCTCACTGACCCTCTGCAGGTGGTGAGTCCACAGGAGGACGGCTGCTCTCTGAGTGTGAGCATAGCCTTGATCTTTCAGTGGGGGCTTTGGGCAAAGTGGGGTTAAGTGTCTTGCCCAAGGACACAACGACAGCAGTCATCAGTGGGAGTCGGTGGAGAAGGTGCAGAGGTGGGAATTGAACCCACGACCTTCTGGCCTTAAGGCCAATGCTCTACCAACTGAGCTACTGTCGCCCTGATGGGCGAAACATGGTCAAAACACTTTTACATAAATCAACCATACAGCTGTTTTTGTGAGTAGACAGGGTCTCAACTGTCCTACTCTGAGAATGTTTAACAATGCCTGTTGGGGGATTTTACTGTTTTGACAGAAGATAACCTTGATGTATTATGGTAGATACTACAGTCTAGTACAGATCATGGATCAATAGATCCATGGTACAGATCTATGCTTGGGGGCGGTACAGTTCTTGTCGAAGTAAAAACAAGGCTGTCTACACAGCGCATGCGCGGTGTAATCTCGCACGGAGAACTGTGGTTGGCTCACATATCAGCTGAGCTGTCTCTGCGTATTTGCCATATTTGCCAGAACATAAGGATCTTTAACAGCGACTTCACAGGAAAAAGGTCGGTACATAAAATGCTCCAACTACTTTTGCAAAGCGTAATGATACGCTACTTTTACTGATTTTTGCTTTCATTGTCATGTGCCCCTGCTTCCATCTGTGCTGGCAGTTTGACGGTGAATGTAATTATTAACCCCGACAACAACAACAGCAGCAGCTCGGCCCTGCTAACGTTAGCTAGACCGTTTCTTATTTTAAACGAACCGTAATCCAGTCATGTTGAGTGTACAAAGTTCGGATTTAACGTTGTTATTTCGTGCTAAAGCGTCCTCATCTTCCCAGGACAGCTAATGTGTTATGTTTTTGTCACCAGAGGAACGTGAGTGGTTACGTAACTATCGACCAGCACGAGCGGGCCTGGGGCCTGCAGTCATTGACCTGCCATTGCTGTAAAGCCAACCCGAGGAGAAAAGAAACATATGATTATCTCTTCAACAAACCCCTGCCTATACCGTGACAGCTTGGACAGTGGTGGTGAACGACGACAAAGCGTTGAGAAAAATAGGTAACGTTAGCTAACTAGTTAAGCTACATTAGCTTAGAAGAAATATTGCACCTAGCTAACTATCTTAAGTGCCTATGACTTTAAACAAATACTGTCTTTTGTATTTTTTTGGTGAAACGATACATAGTGATATTAACATGACTCTCAGAACAGTATAAATAACACAACATCAGGGGAGGGAAATTCACAATTCAGCATAAAGAGTTAAACATTTGTAATGTTGTTTGTCAACATAATTTCAATGCCAGTGATGTCATTTACGAAGTGTAAAAATATGGAATGTAAAGTTCCCCCTGCACGAGCTGTTCACACTGCTTCCAACTTGCTACTTTCTATTATATTCTATGAAAATGCATTTACAGTGTTCGATTAAGAGCAACTCCCATCCATATTTTTGTCACTTACCGAAGATTTTTGAGGATTCAATTTGAGAGTTTACAGAATGTTATTTCTGAACGGTATTTATAATGTTAAGCTCCATGCATCGTTTCAGGATTTTGTAAAAATTGTAGCATGAGGAACCACCATACATTCTGTTGAGTTTACCTTACCTGTCATATTTTCGTGCCTACATATACTGTACCCATTTATAGACCTTTTGTAGGAGGGAAACCAAGGTTTTTGTACATATTTTAAAGTATTTCTCTCTCTTCCAGATTTAGTTTGTTGGAAAGATATTTTCCCTGATCATGGCCATAGCACATCACTTGAGCTATCCGTTCAGGGATTATCATTGCTGGGAGGACAATGAGTGCCTTAACTACTATGGCCTGCTGTCTCTTCACGAGGTTTTTGAAGTAGTTGGTTCTCAGTTAACGGAGACCGACATCGAGGTGCTATCTTTCCTTTTAAATGAAACATGTTCGCTTCCACATCCTCTTGATCCTGCAGGCTGGACAGTGGAACCCAGTGAGGATGATCCTAATGATGCTGGCGTGTCCCCTAGTCCTCAGCTGGTGAAAATATGGCGGAGACTTAAAGCTAGTACAATTCAACAGCCATTATTTTCCTCGCACAAGCCCAAGAGTGGCCTTGAGTTATTGTTGGAGCTGGAAAACAGAGGATACATCAGTGAGGGCAACCTGGAACCACTACTGCAGCTGCTGCGAGTCCTGACCCGCCATGACCTGCTACCCTTTGTGTCCCACAAGAAAAGAAGGACAGGTGAGATGTCAATTATATATTATACAAAATGTATATATAATTGTTTTCTTTTAACTCACGCTTAACCAAAAGGATCATTTTATACATTTTTCTCTCATGCATTGACTCAATAAAATTCTATTATGAAAATAGACACTTGAGCGAAACTTTCGTGTGAACTGAAAGCCCATTTATCTTACACAATATCCTTTAAACAGGAGAAAGCAGAGCGATCTCGACGCAAACTAGCCACTTTTAACAAACTTTGACCATAGCTAGAACATAGAAAATTCTGTCACTCTCCAAAATGGCTTGTGAAAAATGGTCTAGACTGCTGGAACTCAAGGCCAGAGCTCCAATGAGTAATTGGAAGAATATAATATAAAAACAGAAACATGCAGTTTTGATCTTAAGTAGGGCCTGACGATAGACCACGGAAGGAGTGGACTGACCGAGTGGCCACCCACCACCTAGAGTTTGCCTTTTTGGGGACAAAGGTCATAATAGCTCACTCGAACAGGCTATTTGAGCGGGAATGTGGGGCCAAATTAGTAAGTGGCAAACAAGAGCGGTCTGTCTATGTCCTGCTTGCATAATTGGATGGCAGAAGGCATCTAATTGGTTGGACATATCTGGATAGAGCCTCCTACAGATAATGACTGTATTGGGGTCCCATTTTCACATTATGAATCAGTGGATGATTGTGCTATCACAAGAAAAAAAGGCTCAGATTCACACACCTTGTAAATTATTACTTTAATATTCAAACGTCTCACAAAATGCAAGACATTTAACATTCTCATCCAAACGGCTTCAGGTTGTGTGCTAACACAACTCAATAAAATATTGTATTTTGAGATTTTGTGTCTGTATGTTTCGAAGTTTCTCCAGAGAGAATCCGACACTGGCGTGCAGAAGAGCAGAGAGAGCTGCTGATCTGCTCTGGAATGCCTCAAACCTGCAGAACCTCTGAAATACCTCTTTCATCTTTCACTCAACAGGGAAGATCAGGTACTTGGATTAAAGCTTAGTTTAGACTTTGTATGGCTTCAGGTTAGGGACATTTTTGATATCATGCTGCATAATATAATTGAGAAATACGGAAAACACTTTTTATTGAGATAAAATCATATAAAAGTTGATGCTACTAAGGTCAGATTAAAGAAGGAATCTTTTGCGAAATCATTGTTAATAAAACCCACGCATCATTATATACAGACTTGTTCTGCACTTGCGGTGAGCCTGTCCCAATAAATACCTTATCCTACTCTTAAATAGGATGTTTGTAATTGTTGGGGCGACAGTAGCTCAGTTGATAGAGCATTGGCCTTTGGACCTGAAGGTCGTGGGTTTGACCCCATCGTAAGACCTACTTCACGACTCTCACTGATGACTGCTATTGTTGTGTCCTTGGGCAAGACACTTAACCCCACTTTGCCTGAAGCCCCCGCTGAAAGATCTCTGCTCCTGTGGACTCACCACCTGCATGAGGATCAGTGAGGGGCTGGTGCTTTGTGACTGGGTGCAGCTCTAACTGCCACCCCCCCGACCCAAAAATGGATTAAGGGGAAGAAAATGGATGCATGGTTGGGTGGGTGTAATAGTGTTGAAATGGGGCAGTAGAGTTTTCAATGGTATATTGGTATACATACATGCATTATATTACATTACATACAGTATCTGTGATTCATTCTGGGCATTATTTAAAAAAGTAATTTCGTCATTGGCATAAACGTAGTTGCAGTACAGTCTCTATATTGTGAGCTTCTAATTTCAAAATGAAGCTCTGATCTGTGCTCATCATCTGTTAGGGATGTACTCTCCTGTGCCTGATGCTCCTGCCAGGAAACGGAGGAGGAGGGGGAACGGTTGGTCCCGGAAGCCCAAAAAAACCATCAAACCGAGCCAGCCTCAACCCCTACCGGCCCCACAGAGCGTCTCCTGTGGTAAGAACCATGGCCTCATTTAGAATGCACTTCAAGCACATTTGTTTTTCCTTTTTATTCTGCATGTTATCCTCTTACACCAATTATAATTACCACACTTCCATTTACTTCTCACGTTTTCCCATAAGAAATCTACTTCTTCTACGATCTGACTTTTCAAGTCTTTGTTGTGCAGTTTTGTTATTTACAGAATGCATTCTTCCTGTGCATGTTTTCTGCAATCTTTTACTCAGTCATGTCATTGTACAGATATGTAAAACTGTGTTCTACCTCTGACACATTGACGTGTTCTCTGATGCCACGAGGGAATCCTACAACTATCTGCTTGTTCTGGCTTTTAACTGTAGGGCTGGGTATCATTTTTGTTTATTTCAACCAGAACTTCAGCAGCACCACTTAACATATGCCTTGTTAAATCGTCATGCGTTTGAGCCATTCTTCAATGATGCTTGGGCTCCCTGTCAGGAGCAGTGGTTTTCAAGACCACATTTGCTCTAGGATTGTGGTTGGTAACTGGATTACCTGGAGGATGCCCTGTTTATAAACATGCCAAGAATGTCTGGAAAGGTTTTATGGATTGAGAACAAGATGGAGCTTCACCCCATGAATGGAATGAATTGTGCAGAAGATGACTACAAATAGAGATTTCCGTCATATCCATGTTTTGCATCTTAAACATCTTCTTTATTTTTGGTACCACATGTAATATAATATAATTCACCGATACCCAGCCCTACCAAGGACCATACAATGCATTGCAAAATTGGAGGCTACCTTTAAAGGATTTGTGAAATGTAGCCTTTATGATAAATTTGGCACATCGACCTAACATTCTTATGATACAAACAAGCCTTCAACAATTTCTAACAACCACACTAACTTTCAAATGTACAGCAATTTCTAACATGGATTGTAGATTCTGTTTCCATATCTGTTTTATCATCATCCTCCTCATTTTCGTCTCGTACTTACAGCCACTTCTTTGAGCAGCAAGGGATGTAACACACAGTATTATTCACCGAAACAAGTATATTTCCATGCTTTGCTCAATAAATCCTGTCATATTTTAGATGTAAGAAGCTATTCAAGTGAATGTTTGTAACTTTGAAAGGTGGTTCCTCAACAATTTCATCAACATCTTTAGAGACACTTTTAGAGAGCTGGGATTTTAACACTCGCTCAAGGCAGTCATTTTTGTTTGTTATTGTTCTGTTTTTAAAAGAAAGAAAAGAAATCCCCTGATGGCTTGACTTCAGCTTTATATAGATCATCAGATTTGAATTCTAAATAACTAAACAAGTTTATGCCAATGAATGGCTTGATTTAATTATCAAAATTTTTTGTTATAGCCATAAATGTACAAACAAGGTTGTTTATTCTTAGTTTTGAACTTACAAACATTCACTTTGAAATACGTTGTTTGTAGCTTAGATCCTGTCCTGCTATAGTTATTACATATGAGTCATAAGTGTCATGGTTTTTGTTACATCCCTAACTGCTAGATATGGTAGCAAAGCCCTGCTATAAAATGGCACAAAGAGTTGTTCTGTACACTACTGCCCTCAAGGTTCACTACTTGCATTTTATTTAAAATATGAGCTAGTAAATAAGAGCTTTGTAAAGTCTGTGAAGCGGTAGAAACAGCTGCCCATTGTGTGACCTGTGCTTATCTGCCATAATATTGCCACGTATGCTTGATCCTGGCTCTGTAAAATGACCTTAACCAAAGAGACAGCAGCTCTTAGCTCTTGAGATGAATTGTGCCTGTCCACATATTGCTGTCTTGACTCCACATCTGATCCCTTCAGGTTGACTCCACAGTGACTCAGATCGAATAATCGGAGACAGAGGGAGACTGAGGAACAGTTCAAAACATTCTCTCTGTGCGTTCACACTGAGTTTGTGGTCCACTCGTTCACATGCTCGCTCACTGCTTTGGGCCTTGCCGAAGGTAAACTGGCACTCCTCCTTGTTCTGCAGGGAGGGGCTGCCACTGTGCTCTCCTCATATTGCTCATGACTTGTACCTTAGAGCCCTGTTCCCCTCTCTAAACAGATTTCAGCACCTCAAAAGCATGGTCAAACTTTTCCATATTACTCTTTTTATCAGATGTCACTTTTGCGAAAGCTCTGAATCAAATTGTTTGGATACAAGCTATCCAGTTTCAAGTTAATTTGCCTCATTGTCCAGGTTTGTATCTCTCAGAATGGTCAAACCTGTGCAGTTGTTCTCCCCTGACCTTGACCTACAAGCCTCCCTTGAACAGGCCATTCAATGTGATGTTTGATGTCTAAAGGCTCATTTATGCTCACATTTAGTGCTTTTTTAAACATGACCGCACCAAGCTGCAGTTTGTTTCCTACTTTGTAAAACAACCACCTGCAGGCTTCAAACCAAAGATTGTTCTCATGACTTTTGAAAACGTCTGCTACCCCAGTTAAACTGTGTTCATCCTGTTCTCAGAGATTTGCAAAGCCATTGGCTCCGGAGTAAAAAACAAATGGATTTGCCTCTGTAGTATGCATCCATTTGTGTGGTGTAGAGATGCTGCTGATCAGATGGGTTGCTCACGTAACAAAATTTAAGACTTGGCAAAGTAAAAATGTTTTGGCTGTGTTAGAAATCAAATGTATAGCTTTAATGACAGTATGATCGCGGATCCACATTAATCTTCAAAACTTAGGTTATTCGTGATCGGCCTAAAAGAATCTGAGAAACTCCAGTGCAGAGCATAAATGAGCTTGCGTATAAGTAGACATTTGTTCATGTTAAATGTCAGTCACAACTCTACACCAGTCGCAATGAGCTACAAAGTGCTATCCAACCTTCTTATAAACCTCTATCTATAAGGTATTATTGACCTTTTTTAAAAACATTACAAAGTTTTATTATAACAGAATAAAGATATCCACTGACTATTACATCTTCCATGGAGATAAACATTTTGTCACATTTAAATCAAATTCGAAGTTCATTTAAATGGATGAGAGTTTGTGCTGTGCCTAATACTGCTTTTCAGAATTGACGTCACTATTTAGAATCATCGTAATCTGAGCTTGGACAAACAAACCTCTTGTCTCCTCATTTAAAACGGACCCATTCTCTTTTTCATCAGTTCTCAAATGGCCTTTGTGAGATGAAACTTATTATTTTGAAATGGTTTACCTTTGGGTCGATTATCAGTTTCCTGTAGCCTAAGATAGTAGAAGCAGGGCGACAACAACATGTGTTGCACTTCCTGTGATGCTCCTGACACTGTCAGAGGTATCACTTAATACTATTACTTTTGATATTTGCTGGATGAATCTATGGGGAAAATTTTTTTCACTGCCTGCCTGAGTGTTGTGTGCTTTGTTTGTCCGAGAACCTCTAAATGACAAGGTGACGTCAAAATGCTATTTTTAGCAACTCTGAAAAGTTAATTCATCTAAAGTCGTCCGATGTCCAACCACTTGTGCTTTGTCTCTTGTCTCCCTTCTCTATTCGCAGTAAAAAACCAACTGGTGTGTCAGGAAACTGTATGCTCACATACCAGGAAAATGAACTCTAAATGCTCAAAACTACAAAAAACTGGTTCAAACCTCCAAGTGAACGTTGTCTGATGGGACAGAGGGCTTTGGACGCTCCTGTCTTAACTCCTTAACTCTTCACTCACTCAGTCGTTGAGCAGAAAAATGGATCGATAAAGAGTTGAAGCTCTCCATGCCAAGTGACTCCTCGTAAAATGGGTACTTAAAGTTTTTTTCTCTCCTGTGAGTTTGAGGAAGCCAAATGGACCAGGCGTTAAAATGAGAAAATGAAAGCTGTGCTTCCTAATGTCCTGTCTAAGTGGATGTCTCTGTGTCTGATGAAGCGTGAAGTGCCCTGTAACCCTAACAAAATGACTATCGCTGTGTTCCAGTGGTTTTAAATGGCCCTCTTTTCTGTGCCGCTATCTTGAGCTAGCAAATGGGATGAATCCATAAATACAGCAATTACATAAAGGCCAGGTATTTATTGTAGTCCTATGCCTTGATGTGATTAGGGGCAAGGTTATACTTCCAGAACCCCGGCCATTATTTATGCAGTACCAGTGACCTGTCACTGCAGAGTACGTTTATATTTTAGCTCTTTCAAAAGTCAAACAAGTTTTCTTTACAAAAAGAAAATGATCGTTGTATTTTAATCTCCAGTTTGTCGCCTTAATAGTGTTAACATTTACGTCTGTATGGCAACTGTATAACCGTCGTTTGGACTCAGTTTTCAATCTTGTGAATGACCTGAGGCTGAAACTTACTCTTTGTTGGATGGTCTCATTATGGGTAAATATTTTATGATCAAAGTTACACAGCATCTGAATGCATCATCCGCCATACATTCTGGGAGGGATAAAGATGAAGATTCAGATTCTACACTTTGCTCTTGTACTTGGAGTACTATCTGCCACTGCTGCGTTTGGTGTACATCACAAAGGGACAGAGAGAGCAGTCATCTTTTTATTGTGAAGGTCGAGCAACTATAGAACAGGGATTACAAACTGGAGCTTGTTAAAACCCAAAACTATCAGAAAATCGTTTTCTCTTGAGTCTTTCGAGTACAATTTAGTCATTAGTTTTGAGCTGGAGTGACGCACTGTCCCTGTCTCTATTCAAAAGTTGCTTTGACAACCAAAGTATTTATTGCTCAGACAGTAACGGCTAACTAAAAATTCCACTTTTATGGCTAATTCCATGAAGGATATTTAAGTTTCCTTCGAATCTCTCTTGCTTAAACTTAGACAAGAGTTGTAACAAAGTGACAAGTTTGTAACGTAAGAACATGATGTGCCTGAAATGTAATGGTAACCCATTTGATCTGGAGGGCTGAGGGGAAGATCTTTGTTGCAGCAGTCGACAGTTGCTGTTTCCTCTGGAAGTTCCTGAATATTGAGGAGGATCTCAGCGGTGCTTTTGCTCGGGACAGTATGTATCCTCTGATCTTTCTCGCTGTGCCGTTGCATGACCACTACACCTGATACTGTGGGACTCCAGCAAATATGTGTGCCTCTGTCCAGTGTTACTACCGCCACATTTAGGAACGCACTCCAGGGCGTAACTTTCCACGAGTGTCCTGCCCAGTCTATACTACACCATCAAACAGGTTGATCAGTTTTCATGGGAAGATTTTGTTTTAAAATCTGACTCGGAGCTGTGAGGAGATTGCTTTGTGTTCAAAAATGTTCTGAAAAAAGCCCATCCAGACGATTGAAACTTTCACTCATTCCCTGCTGAATGCATAGCCAAAGTATGCAAAGATTCCTAGATGGGACAACATTGGGAATTGTTCCTAAAAAAATTCTGATGCTCCTTTTTTACATACCATCTTAAAATATTATCAGCGCTTTGACTTGAACTGTCTTTTTAGTTTTGAGTAGAGGGTCTAATTATTTTTGTGTCTTGGCTTTTCTCTCCTTCTCTCCCTCTCACTCTTGTCTATCCTCCTCCTTCCATCTTCTCCATTCCCAGATGTTCGGCTGCGTGTGCGGGCAGAATACCTGGAGCACGAGTCTGCGTTGCGTAATGGTGTCTCTTCAGACAAGCGGCAGCCTCTGGAGCGGCAGTTTGAGCTCTTCAGTCAGGCAAACTCTGTGTTGAGGTCCAGGAACCTGGGCTCCATTGTGTGCGACATCAAGTTCACAGAGCTGGACAACCTGCAGGCCTTCTGGGCAGACTACCTGAGCGGGGCCCTGCTGGAGGCACTCAAAGGGGTGTTCATCACAGACTCCCTGAGGAGCGCAGCAGGGAGCGAGGCTGTGCGGCTGCTCATCAGTGTGGACCAGGATGACTACGAGGAGGGCCGCCGTCTGCTGCAGGCCAGTAAAGAGCTGCATTCAGGGCAGGCTCTGCACACACACACACAATGGACTTTGTAGGAATAAGGCAAGGGCTTTGAAAATCCAGTGGTATTCAACCTTATCTCAGATACATTTGCAAAACAAAAGGGATACAAATCTTCTGTTAGTAGTTGCAGAATGAGTTGCAGCTCATGTTGTAATGAGTGAATTTTATTTATTCATAGAAATCCATAAAAATTTAGTTGATTTGTGCATTTTTTGCTAAAATATAGAGCATTATTTACTACAATCTGGGGTTATTTAATGAGTACTGTTTCTTGAGTGTTGTTTCTTTTTTCAATATCATCTTTGCACTTGCCTGCCTCTACTCACCATTTAAGACACTTTTTAACCACCAATTGTAGAAGTACACAGTTTAGTTCCCCCAATGGGACTTTCTTGCAAGTGTTAAAAGGAGGAACTGATGTGTGTGTTATTTTTGTTTTTGTTTTAAAAATATATATATAATTCCTCTGAGGGGAATATGGTGGAAATCACTGGCCTCAGATATGTTTACAAACCATGTTTTCAGTCTGTCATACAACCACTAGATGGCAGCACTTACCATCTCATTTTGTTAAGAGGGCCTTTCAGTTACAGAATATAAAATGCGCTTTAACTGCCATAAATATTTTTCAAATTGACTAATAATTTGCACTAGAATTTTTTGTTTATATAAACCATATTGTGTCATTGTTTTACCATGACAAAAGTATTTAATATATTTTCAATGTGGATGGCAACGGACTGCTGCAAAGGCATATGTTGAAAAATAAATTAACTAGTTTTCTCTATTTAGTTTGTAATATTATATCTAAGTACAAGTAACTTATACATTAAGTTAATGTAAAGTGCCAGTTACAAGAAAAACTGCTATTAACAATCCGCCAAAGAGTGAGGGAGATTAGATGTTTTAGAAATCTGATTTTGACCAGCAAGAAATGAGGGTTTTTCCAGAGAAGATTTGTGTCCAACTTCAGTGTAACTCTTGATCACAAACATTAGGAGCTTGAGCTCTGTACCGTGATAACATAACTTGTGATTGGCGCGTGCGGTGGATGTAGCAGTGGTCGGCAGATGACAGCTGTGATTAGACCTCGGCATCACCAGACCATAGAAGATTCATCATCACAGCTCGCTGGATAATGCTGCGACGTCCGTGTCCGGGGCTTCCAGCAAGGCCCTGGCAAGTACTTCTCTCTCAGCAAGTAAAGCACAGGACGGCGAGTCGGTCAATAGAAGTGATGTTGGGGAGATCAAAATCAAAAGTGCACATCCCAAGCTCCACTCAGCCCTGCGATGTAGCCCCAGCAGTGGCTCATGGACAGCAGTCTACTCACCCTACTGGAACTAATGCCTGGACTTCACTCATCGAGAAGGATCAATAAGGCCCAGTGTAAGTCCCCTCATACAGGCACGACTTAAGCAACTCTGCCACTGTCTCTGCCCAAGAGTGCGCCAACCCTGACTCGCCTAAATGGACTGGTGCTTTTGTATATGTTATTAATGTATGTTTGGATCTTGACAACAGAAAATATTTCTTTGTGAAACATTTTTGAAATTGTTTTTTTTTCTGTTAATAAATATGTACATATTGCATTATTGCTTCAATGTGGAACTTCTTCATATAAACTGGGTCTCCATTGGTTTAAGCTTTAACGATGTGTTTTAAAACAGTTGTCGAGCTTCTAAATCAATACTGAACTAGAATTCAACTAAAATTGTACCAGCCAGGTTTAAAGCAAAAGTATACAATGAATTGGTATGGAAGGCCAGTATTTGATGTAATTCTGTGTTTATATATATATATATATATATATATATATAATTACACAGAATTACATTTTTTTTTTTTTTTTATAACTAAGTATTTCAAATTATTACAATAATACAATCATTAGAAATGCTTAGTAATTATTGTGTGTGAAAGTTATCCACGTTTTTGCCTTATATGGATTGCATTTCTGTGAAGCACCTCCCAGGCACTTTATGAACATACTGGACATTTTGTCTACATTGAATGTTCATAATTTTGCTAAAGAAGAAAACATAATTTTGTGTAATTTAATCTAATTTGATATGGCCAGTGCAGCAAGAAAATACATATATGCAAAAAATAGACATAGTACAACATTTTGAAACATTGTGAATGTTTATCTTTCTCTATACTTTAGAGCTAAGCCAAGACATAATGACCGAAAATAGGTCCTGTCCTTAAGTAATATAATTCCTGACAAGGCAATTCCATTTGCATGTGACAAACAGGTGATGGATTTTCCACCAGAAATCTTGCATATTGTACTTCGGCTGTGTTCACACAAATGTATAAAAATGTATTTGTAATAAAAATAATACATCAGTTTTATAAAGAACCTTTTTGGACACTCAGACACTTCACATGTCATTCTTTCACTCCATACACAGTGGCGATAAACTTCTACTGTAGCCACAGCTGCCCTGGGGTACACTGACAGAAGCGAGGCACCCCGTATTTGCCATCGGCCCCGGCACACCACCAACCATTCACAATCACACTAGACTTATTCAGGCAATGTGGGTGAAGTGTCTTGCCTAAGGACAAAGCCTGTTTGTTTAAAGCCACACTTTACAGTTGCAGTTATCCCACTGTGACACCTTGTGTTCCCAGAGGTCTCCCATCATAGTACTAACCACGCCCTGTCCTGCTTACTTAAAAGGAGCACTGGTTAGGTGGTCTAGATTTACTCTTGTGAGTTAAAAAGTTGCTTTGGTTGTGCTTTTTCTGCATTTGAAAACCAAGTATAGGAACTAGACACCTTTTAATATGTCTTCCTTTCAATGTTTGAAAAAAATGGGTACCCCAGCTTTAACTGAGTATGTTGAGTCATAGCTGTAAGCAACTCTTCAAGCCTAACCAAAAGAGTGGCGTATGTTTTATCAGGAAATGTGTTGAAAAGCCCTTCTCTCACCTTCAGAGGCCATCTTATGGGTGAACGAGCGGCCTCTCTGCTCCTAAATGGTCTGAAGAGATCCATCGAATGCAGGTCACTGTGGAGCAGCCCCTTAATCGTTTCTCATGGAGCTGTAAGATGGCGGCGTGATGAAACCAAAGAATCATTTATCCTTGGACACGGTTTTTTCCAGCCCCTCAACCCATTTTTGCCTTTTGTACGTAGATTTACACTATACTTAACCATTTATTTAGGATTTCAAGAACTGGACGGTTATTATTTATGCAGAAGCGTGGATGCTCTGATGTAAAGATCTTTGACTTTTTTCTGGTCCTCACCAGCGCATTAATAATTGAGTGAGAGCCTACTTTGAAGAGTCACCTTATTTGACTGCTAAGTTAAAAAAAAAAATCCAATGATACACAGACTAATAATCCAATCTATAAATGTGATGTTTTGGGTGTCAGTTACTGTTCTACAATTTCCAACTGTCATTCATACACACCATACTCTGATGGATAGCCAAGTCAGCCCGCTATATAGCATGGTACTCCCCATCACATATAAACAGTCGTTCCCCATCACAGTATTAATCAGGCCCTATCTTTAGCTCCTGAGTTCTGACAAGATCAAGCTTTGTCAGGTATGTGAATATCTTATTATTCGGAAATCCATTAATCCATCTACAACACACAGAATTAACCTAATGATCAATTGTCTTGATCAAAACGCCTGAGTGAAAATGTGGTTTAAACTGGTGCCACATTTTCAAAAAATATCAATCCAAAGCATTACACTTCTTTCTTGTTTTTCCTTGTTTAAGTGTGTGTTATGGTCCGATTTATGGTATGATTATCAATAACAGTATTATGGCAAGGCATCTGATGATTTGTAGATGATATTTTAGAGAAGTCTGGGCATCCCTCTTTGAACTACTGCCTCTGCGTTCAGTCCGCAGATAAACCTATAGCAAACGAATGGATAGATGGATTTTTAAGTGTCAGATAAATGGGAAAGCGTGTATTTTATTATTAGGTGGCCCTTTTCAAGCATGACTATTTACAGTTGAGAATTGCAAATGTTGTATTCACTTGATTTGTTGAACTTCCCATTGGTGTTATGCCCTTTGACTGTGCGTGTTATAGTAAACACACCATTTTTATGATTCCCCAGTCATCACAGACGCAGTAGGGGATTAACCCTGGGGGGTAAAGCCTTATAGAGCAGAATCTACTACCCTGTCCAGAGAAGACCTTGTTTGATGGGCAGCCTCAGCGCCCCAGGCCAGCCTAAAGGATGAGGTTTGTGAAACACTTGTTCACACACCACACCCGCCTCAAAGCAATTGTACCAAAAGGACGCAGCGCAAGAGGGTCCACCATGTTTTCTCTGAGTCATGTGTTTATTTACAAAACCCATTGTCTCGATATTATAAGACATTGTCATATTTGTCTATATTACCTGGGATATTATTGTTTTCTGAAGTTGTTTTACATACACACAATTTCGGATGCAGTGAATCCACTCGTGACTCATCTATATCAAGATTCTGGAGTTGTTTGTCTTAATTAGGAGAAATGGGGTTCTGACTGAATTGCTAAATCAAATTTCATATAGCCACATATTGACTTGCTGTAAGCGAGACATCAGACTTTGCTAATGTATGTATCCTTTTGTGCCCATAAGCTGAAACTAATGCTGACCTTAATGTGACAGTGTGTAATCAGCTGGACTGCCTTGAAGAGGACCTGTCTTCATTTGTTACTATTAACTAATAATCCCCTGCTTCCGGTCAGAATTACGAAGAGCAAGGTAAGAGTTTGACTTAATACTGTACCATATATTTTTATAGATAGATTAAAAATCAGAATAAAAAATTTGTAATTACATTTTTTATCACCGTAAAGCGTTTTTGTTTACATCAACAACATACTGTCACATTGTAGAAGAGTGTTCCATAAGTAATCTTGAAAATGTTAATTAAATTACGAATCTGTTGAGAAGAACACACTGCTAAAAGACTTCACCAACGGAACAAGTTTTTGTAAATTACAAAACAAAAACACCCTGCACTGAAATTAAAGACCAGAATTGTATTTTTTTTTTTTC